TAGCTTGTCACCTGTAATTCATTTTCTATACAACTGCCAGAAGGGATATGTAAAATACAGTCTGATCATTATTAAAACAGTTCAGTGCAAAGCATCATTTAATACTTTAATTATTAAAAAAGGCAGAAGCTGCCATGATGTTTTGACTTGGTTTGGGAAGTCATAAATTGTCATTTTGTGAATATCTTACTGTTGACACAGGTCAGCCCCATTTCAGGAAGGAGAGGACTACAGAACGGAGAATCTACTAGGAGGCAAGAATCACTGGGGGTCACCTGGAGGCTGGATACCATATTCTAAAAGTCAATCTTTGTAGGAGGGAAAAGTTGAACAAATCCATCTTTCCTTTTATCAAATTTCAGAATAATGAGTAGTATTCTAGCAACCTTTATAGGTAATGAGGTTTTATTCCTTAAAGAGGGGTATCATCACAGCTATGTGTATTTCATATATAGATGTGTTTAACTCCATTGCAGATGTTACTCTCTGTGATTTTGAAGTTGTCTTATCTTTGACCAGTGGCAATCTCTTTAAGTTGGTTCCTATGTCTTTGAAATGACTCTAGGAGTCTTTGTTAGCATTCTTGCTTTCAGGCACTAAAAGATATCCAGACTCATATAAATCTTCTATCCTAGAGCTAAACATCCAATTCTCCAAGAGGTCTTGGTTCATGTTACTGGAAAACGGTATTTGGAGATGACAATTTTGACACTAAAGGTATTCATCGATACTGAGTCATTATTATTTCTAGATCTTTTTAGTGTACACAGCTAGGAAATAAAATTTTTAATAGAAAAACTGTCATGAACTCATACATGATTTCCAGTTCAAATTAAAGACTAGAAGGTTTTTATTTCTTTCATTGTATGCCTATATCTCTTATGCCAAAAATTTTAGTTTCTAGTGATAAATATTAACATAATTATTCACTTCGTTTATATTTATCACCTATATTGCTATTTGGCTATTTTTTATCTATAGTTTCAAAATAACAATACCAATGTTTCCATTAACATAAAGAGTATAGGATACAATTTAGGATACAATATTGGATACAATTTAGAATATCTTTATGGTTCTTTTCGTCCATAGGCTATAACCGACTGTATAATCAAAATGCTGTATTTTAAAATCAATTGAATTAAATCTTTTCTGCTTGATTATGCCATCAACTTGAAAGGCTCATATCTTTATTCACTCATATCTTTATTTTCTTTTGGTGTTTAAGAATTGCTCCTTTTCTCTTTTGATTTACCAGGTGAAACATTTTACCTGGTTCCAAATAAAAGCTATAAAGCAAATTATAATTAGAAAAGTCCAGCTTTTGTCCTGTTACTTATCCTTGTTTTCTTCACCCTATAAATAACCATTTATAATTTTTTTGTGTAATCTCTCATTGTTTTTCTTAGAAAAATGAGTTTGTGTGTATGTGTATATCTATATGTATATATTTATGTCTATTTATCTATATCTATTATCCCCCTTTTTTACGTTTCTTAAACCTATTTTTTTACTTAACATATCCTGAGTATCACTCCACAGCAACATATAAACATCCCTTTATATATACATGTAGCCCTCCATTGTATGAACATTCCTTAGCTTTAGCAACCAGATACTTAGCGATGAACATTTGAGTAGTTTCCAAACTGCTTTAACAAATAGAGAAAACAAACAAGAGTTTATGCTAATAAAATGTCTGCTTCTCTTCAGCCTCCCCAATAGATTAGTCATTTTTCAAAAATCTTTTTGCCAACCTCATAGGTGAGAGAAATTATCAGTCTTAAATTGGAATCTCTAAAAGACAGAGTCTAAAGGCAATTCCAAGTATGGGGTACCCTATCAAGGAACCAGGAGTGTGGGAGAAAAAAAGTGAGCAGGAAAGAAGGAATACTAGCACAAGGGAATAAGTTACCAAGCTGGATATAGCTTCACAAGAAACACAGCTGATTGCTTGGTAACGGAGGGTGGTGTTTTTTGAAGAGCTGTACAAATACAAACACAATTAATTTGACTACTATGCAGGCAGAAAAGTATAGCAGGATTAGATAGATTGACGACATTCATGATACACTTTAACCACAGATTAAGGGATTTATATTTTGCTGCGTTGGCAATGGAAAACGAAGGAATATTTTGAGGAGAAAAGTGATAGAAGAAAAGAGAATTTTAGGAACATTCAACCTGAACTAGAGTAAGGGGAGTTTAGGGAACAGGATACTAGTTGGTAAACAGTACATAGTTCAGCAAAGGGGTAAGAAAAGACTTTGTTCTTTTTTTAACCTTGGCTACTGACTAACAACAGGAACAGTTTACTGTTTCTTTGTTGCATCAGAGCTCGTCCCAGGAGCATAAAAGCTTGACATGAACTCTGCCCTATAATGCTCTCGTTTGGGAAATTTCAGAGAACACAGCTGGATCTGTGTGTGCTGGTAGACTTGGAGCGGGAGAGCAGGCTTTCAGCACTTTACCAGAGTCCTGCACACACTGGAAGCCTTTCCAAAGCCCAACCTCTGTCCTTACTTGGAGCAAAACTTTCCCTCATGTACCAGAATAGTGTCTCCCAGCCCACAGCTGTGAGGAATGGAAAGGAGCATGTTGAGTTGCTGATTTTTGTTGTTGTTGTTGTTTGTTTTAATTTATACCATTTAGCTGTGCAGTGTTCAGATACTTAGATCAGTTTTGAGATTTTCCTTTTAAAATTGATTCTGAGCATCAAGAAATTTATGTTTCTAGGTTGGGACTTGCCTCTTGAGCATTTAACAAGTATTGCATCATGTTTGTTAGTTATTTGTGAGGAAAAGGTTGAACTTTAGCTTTGAGCTGTCTAATATTACCCAGACATTCAATTTAATATTACTCTGCTTCAGGTGAAAAATAAAAGTGTACAGCCATATAACATAAGAGCCTGGGACTAGGATAAGGATGGAGGAAAATTTCTTAAACACTATTGAAAAGTATATTACAAAACACATTTTTTTTTCCTTTAAAGATGGGACTATTGAGATTAGAGAAGAATTACGAAAACTGTCAAAAGGCATAAAATTCTTTGAATTGCTGTTGCTATTGGAGTTTAATGTCTATGAATGGGAGCCTTAATATTTTTGAACAGCTTTACTGAGGTGTAATTTATATACCATAAAATTCATCTGTTTTAAGTTCAGGGATCCATAATTTTAATGTCATTCATTATACAATAGTCACAAGAGCTACTTTTGGCTCTATACTGCTTTGCATGTAGTAA